ATACGAAAATGCACCTCAAAGTCAGCGTTTTAATCCAACAACACGGTCGGAGTTTTTTTTTTTTTTTCTCATTATGCACTGCTTACTGCAGGATTTGTTTTATACTGTGCACACTGACCACACAGACCCATTCTCACATGTGGGCCTACAAGCTTTCTCCCGCTTGATTTGAAGCTGGTAGAATTTTTGAGTATACATATATACGTCAAACACATTGGCTTGTAAGACGTATGTGTCCAACTAAAACAGTCAGAGGTTTAAAACTAAACTATCTTGTCCCTCTTCAACCCCCCACCCCCTCAATCTCACCCTAACTTCCTCCTCCCTTAGTTTATATACTTTCGCCTCTCTCTTATTTGCTGTTGCCTTTTTCCTTTTGTCCCATCTACCTCTTACTCTAACTGTAGCTACAACTAAATAATGCTCTGATATATCCATTGCCCCTCTATAAGCATGTACATCCTGAAGCCTACCCATCCACTTTTTATCCACCAATACATAATCTAACAAACTACTTTTATTACATGCTATATCATACCTTGTATATTATTTATCCTCTTTTATATAAAATATGTATTATTACCAAACCTCTTTCTACGCATAGTTCAGTTAAAGGCTCCCCATTTTCATTTATGTGACATCCCAAATTTACCAGCCACTCCCTTCACAACATTTTTACCCACTTCAGCATTGAGATCCCCAACCACAAGTACTTTCTCACTTGGTTTAAAACTCCCCATGCACTTGTTCAACATTTCCCAAAATCTCTCTCTCTCTCCTCTACACTTCTCTCTTCTCCAAATGTATAAACACTTACTATAACCCACTTTTCACATCCAACCCTTATTTTACTCCACATAATTCTTGAATTTATTCATTTATATTCCCCTTTTCCTGCCATAATTTATCCTTCAACCTTATTGCTACTCCTTCCTTAGCTCTAACTCTATTAGAAACCCTGACCCAATCCCATTTATTTCTCCCCGCTGGAACTCTCCTACCCCCTTCAGCTTTGTTTCACTTAAAGCCAAGACATCCAGCTTCTTTTCATTCATAACATCTACAATCATCTCTCTCTTATCATTCACACACATTCAAACATCCCACTTTGATGGTTTTCTTTTTTCTTTTTAGTGAGCTGTATGGGAAAATGGGTTACTAGCCCATTGCTCCTGGCGTTTTAGTTGACTTTTACAACACGCATGACTTACAGAGGAAAAATTCTTATTCCACTTTCCCATGGATATGAAAGGAAAAGTAATAAGAGCAAGAACTATAAAGATAAAATAAAAAAACACTCAGATGAGTGTGTATACATAAATGTGTACATGCATGTATAGTGTAACCTAAGTGTAAGTAGAAGTAGCAAGACATACCTGAAATCTTGCATGCTTATGAGACAGGAAAAAGACACTGGCAATCCTACCATCATGTAAAACAATTACTAGCCTGTTACCTACATTATACAAAAATTGTACTCTACTCCTTTCTCCAAATCCATATACAGCAGGGCCCCGCTTTACGGCGTTTCGCTTTACGGCGTTCCGCTAATACGGACATTTCAAATTATGACCAAAACTCGCTATACGGCTCCCCCCACCTGTCTTTCTAATACGGTCACAGCTGCCCACCGAGTTTGTTTACATTCTCCCTGAGCACATCTCCTTATTATGTCTGGAAACTTTCCAAAATTTCAAGTGTTTTAAAGTTATTGTATATTTTATATGTATTGTACTTGATAATTAAACTTGTGTACACCTGTACCTAAATAAACTTACACACTGTGCTGGCATGTAGGTACACATTAAAATCACTAAGTCTCTCTACTCTTGATGCTATAAAATACTAATAATAATAATAATATAATAATAATCTCTTGGGCGCATTAATGTCGCATATTACATTAATATAGACATTTCTCTTAATCTATCTACGATATTTTTTTCAAAATTATATAAGAAACACATTATGTAACACACAAACATGATACATGCACCCACAGTATAAAAATTTATACAAATATATATGAGATGTTTACCAAACGGTTTGTAGAAGTGTCGGAAGAATTACGTTTTCTCTAGCCCGTCACCTGTTACTAGGGATAACTGTAGAAAAAATATTCCTTTCGTATGCCTTCACTTTATAGCTATAATTCTGTACTAACTTGTACACAGTGTAAGAGTATTTGTTTCGTGATTTAATTATTATAATAATAATAAAAATATTATAAGGTAAAAGTTTCACAAACTCTTACAAATGTACATGAATGAACTAAAACTGGACACATATTAATACCGTCTATTTCGCCTGACCGAGTGATCGTCCACAACCTGTTCAGTTTGTTTGTTTACGCTGTCTGAGCTCGGTGTATCATTAAATGTTGTATATTACGTTAATATACACATTTTCATTAATCCATCCGTGATATTTTTTTCAAAATTATATAATAAACACGATACATAACATAAATACATAACATATGTGTAGAGAACCTAGGATAACCCAAAAAAGTCAGAGTGACTTACTTCCATTGCCTTCACTCAGAGCATCATTTCTTCTCAAAATGATGTTACATGAGAATGGGAGTGTTCTTCTTTATTTATTCTACCGTATCAATGTAGAGACAACCTGTACACAATGTAACTTGTACACAAACCAGACGTGTACACTGTTTACAAAACTTACCTTCGCCTGGTTTGTTTACATAACTCTGCGCCTGTCCTCTCTCATGCACTCATTCTTTCTCTCTGGTATGGTAGCCTGGCTGACTACCATACATACCACACTTGATTTTTTACAATAAATATACTCATCTCACCTATATTTTAAGGTAAGTAATGAGTGAACTGTATATACATTTTATCGCTCTGGGATGCTTAAATATCATAGAATAGTATGTGTGGGTGGGGTGGCCTGGTATGGTAGCCTGGCTGACTACCATACATACCACACTTGATTTCTTACAATAAATACTACTTGTCTCACCCTAGATTAAGACTATAAATATTTTAAGGTAAGTAATGAGTGCACTATGTGTGTATTGTACTTTTTTATTGTTTTTTTGATGCCTGGTTCTATTGCTAATATAATATATGTTAGTGTAAACTTGTTATCTAGTGTTTGTATGCATTTGTAAGTGGAAAAAAAAGGGTGTTCCACTTTACGGCGGTAGCCTGGAACCTAACCCGCCGTATAAGTGGGGCCCTCCTGTATATGGAATGGCGAGAGACATGACACTAGATCATTTTTCAGTGAATGTTGGGGGTCATCTCTTTAAAATGACAGGTTGAGCAAATGGGGTGTAAAGAAAAATAGGAAAAATCAGTTATGCAAAATTGAAATGATAATGTCAGTAATAATGTAATTATAAAAAATATCAATGGCAGATGTTGCAAGTATATGGAATAGGTGGTAAGTTACTAAATGCTGTTAAGAGTTTTTATGAGGATAGTGAGGCTCAGGTTAGGGTGTGTAGAAGAGAGGGAGAATACTTCCCGGTAAAAGTAGGTCTTAGACAGGGATGTGTAATGTCACCATGGTTGTTTAATATATTTATAGATGGGGTTGTAAAAGAAGTAAATGCTAGGGTGTTCGGGAGAGGGGTGGGATTAAATTATGGGGAATCAAATTCAGAATGGGAATTGACAGTTACTTTTTGCTGATGATACTGTGCTTATGGAAGATTCTAAAGAAAAATTGCAAAGGTTAGTGGATGAGTTTGGGAATGTGTGTAAAGGTAGAAAGTTGAAAGTGAACATAGAAAAGAGTAAGGTAATGAGGGTATCAAATGATTTAGATAAAGAAAAATTGGATATCAAATTGGGGAGGAGGAGTATGGAAGAAGTGAATGTTTTCAGATACTTGGGAGTTGACGTGTCGGCGGATGGATTTATGAAGGATGAGGTTAATCATAGAATTCATGAGGGAAAAAAGGTGAGTGGTGCGTTGAGGTATATGTGGAGTCAAAAAACGCTATCTATGGAGGCAAAGAAGGGAATGTATGAAAGTATAGTGGTACCAACACACTTATATGGATGTGAAGCTTGGGTGGTAAATGCAGCAGCGAGGAGACGGTTGGAGGCAGTGGAGATGTCCTGTCTAAGGGCAATGTGTGGTGTAAATATTATGCAGAAAATTCGGAGTGTGGAAATTAGGGAAGGTGTGGAGTTAATAAAAGCATTAGTCAGAGGGCAGAAGAGGGGTTGTTGAGGTGGTTTGGTCATTTAGAGAGACTGGATCAAAGTAGAATGACATGGAAAGCATATAAATCTATAGGGGAAGGAAGGAGGGGTAGGGGTTGTCCTCGAAAGGGTTGGAGAGAGGGTGTAAAGGAGGTTTTGTGGGCGAGGGGCTTGGACTTCCAGCAAGCGTGCATGAGCGTGTTAGATAGGAGTGAATGGAGACGAATGATACTTGGGACCTGACGATCTGTTGGAGTGTGAGCAGGGTAATATTTAGTGAAGGGGTTCAGGGAAACCGGTTATTTTCATATAGTCGGACTTGAGTCCTGGAAATGGGAAGTACAAAGCCTGCACTTTAAAGGAGGGGTTTGGGATATTGGCAGTTTGGAGGGATATGTTGTGTATCTTTATACGTATATGCTTCTAAACTGTTGTATTCTGAGCACCTCTGCAAAAACAGTGATAATGTGTGAGTGTGGTGAAAGTGTTGAATGATGATGAAAGTATTTTCTTTTTGGGGATTTTCTTTCTTTTTTGGGTCACCCTGCCTCGGTGGGAGACGGCTGACTTGTTGAAAAAAAAAAATCAGTATAACATTAAAAATAACTTACAGGGAGTCTAGTGTAACCCTGCTGGTTCTGACCATGATATGGAGGGAGGGGTGGGCATGGCACAGCTAAGACCACCATAAGACTTAGTTAAGTTGCTATGGTGTAATTAGATGACAATTTTACATTATTCATTCTGAAGTAATTGGATCAGCCTTACATTACCCACCAAAATTATTTGTTTTTGTTACTTGTACATTTTCTTCTTCAGACAAGCCTCTTGCGGAGCCTGAAACCCACCGAGTGTGTCGTCAAGTACATGGAGAAACTAGATTCCAGTGAAGAAGAAGCAGCAGCAGAAATTGAAAGAAAAAAGCAAGAAGCCAAAGAATTAGAATTTGATGCTTTTGGTTTTTAAGGCCATGAACAAATGCCTCTGTCATTGCCATCTTCTGCTCATAGCAAATTTATTTTCTCATATTTATAAATTAAAATTCCTTAATATTTGAAAGTAGAATGGTGTGTGTTTGCACGAGGCATTGTGACTAAAAATATTCAAACCATGAAAGTTTTAAACTAATGAAAAATAACTTTCAATTAGCCATTTAAATTTTTATATCAGAAAAATTAATGTAAAGTAAAAGGACACAAGTGCAACTAATGTGACATTTATTGTGGCAACGTTTCGCTCTCCAGAAGCTTTATCAAGCCAATGGCTTGATAAAGCTCCTGTAGAGCGAAACGTTGCCACAATAAATGTCACATTAGTTGCACTTGTGTCCTTTTACTTTACATATTGTCGGTAATTCTACCAACTTTATTACAGAAAAATTAATACAATATAGCTTGAAGGATGACACAGCACAACTTCATCTTGTCTAAAATATGCATAAGCTATATTGGTTTCTCTTCCTCCTGGAATTTATTTGTGGCGCCAAGAGTACAATTTGCATTTTTTCTCCCATGCATCCAATGGTAGCTTAGGATAGTTAGTGCAGTACACTGCAGCATCCTTTACTCTGCCATTCACTCTTTACTGGCCAACCAAAACCAAAGATATCTGCACTGGGACTGCCCTCTTAAGGTTTCATAATGATGGCTGGGGCAGAGTTGTATTAGCAGAGATCCTGCGGTAAGAAACTTCAGTCTGGGAGTGCAGAGACATGTAGCTGGTAGCGTTACTGTAGTGTGTAGTAAAATAGTGTCTTTACAGTTTAAAATCTGAATTCCTGAAGAGTGACAGAGACTATTTTTTTGCCACAGAATTTTCTCTAATGTCACTTATGCAATGGTGATGGTTCCTTATTGTGAGAACACACGTAATCGGGATGCTTAACTCGTGCTGCTATCAACCCTAGATAGGCTGAGTATTCTATAGTATCATAATAAATATTCTGATATTCTGTACTTGCATGATAAAAATTTTTTAAAGGCAAGGCAAAATTTAGAATACCCTCAAAAACATGATTAGTAGCAGTGTTTGGAGAGTAGCCGATCAGTGTGCCCCCCCAAAATAAGGACCTGAATGTATGTTTTTATGGGTGCATTGTTTTTGCTTTATATTAAAAGGAATCTGTACTTCTTCGCATCCACAAGATAAATTAACTGTGATGTGAATGCCTAGAAGTATAGAATCTAAAGAAAAATTCTACCAGTGACCTGATTTTTTTAGTGATGGAGTGAATTCATGTCAATAAGGGTTATTTTATTTCTACTTGTGTGATAGTTGAGTATGCATGCTGTTATCATTGTCTCGTATACATTTCCACAAACCGTACGACCCTGTTTTTCTATTCACACCTGATGTGTATATATTAAATGGGTTCCAAGTGTGAGCCAAAAATTCCTTTTATGTACTGTATTAACCTCCCAGAGATCTCAGAATATATTATTTTATGTTGATTATTTCATTTGCTGTTTTTTTAATACTCTATCCTGTCAGTACTATAGATTTTGTAGCTTCCCTCCACAGCAGCTTGCAATTTATTATGGTACCCGGTACTTGTATCACGGCATATTGTGTCATTTTATATATAGGGAGAGAAGGGGGGGGGTCAAACTGTTCAACAGATAAGTGGTATTCTTATATTATTTTTTATTCAATTTTTTCACATGGAAAGTAATACATTCTGCATATTTTCAAATAATGTTTGTTCACTGCAAGACAGTGGGATATAATGCTTATATGATCATCATATACTGTACACTATTGCTGATTATTTAAAAAGGATGTTTCAAGCTGTATGTAAGATGATATGGTTAAAAAAATTAATTTTGGAAATACAGTTGAATTTATATTATTAATTATATATTGGCAGTGTCAGACAACACCTAGAAAAATGCCAAAAATTTTGATTAATTAAAAGTTGGTCAACTGTTATACGACTATGTTTTCTTCCATAGGAAACTCATATTTAGTATCAGACAAATGGATTGTATGATACACAATACAGTTTGTGTGTGTGGCTTAGACTGAAGGTCTTTGGGATTTGGTTAATATCTACAAGTTTTATTTATTTTTTTTTATATTTCTCTTATTTCTAAAATTTAATGTCGATAAGCAGTTTCCTAAAATATTGCTTGCATGTAGGTGTTTTGAGAACTGCTTCTGAAATTTCAATTACATCTAGATTTAAAGAAACTTTTGGGTAGTGTTGCTCATATATCTGTTAGATAACATACCTTTATATTTGTATTGCTCAGTTTAGCTTGAAGCACTATAAACTATTGGTTACTAACTTATGATTATTCTGGATAGTAATTACTTACAAATTCTTTATTAATTTTAAATATGATTATAACAGATTATAAAGTAAATATTTTAAACTTAGGTGTAATGACCCATTACCCACCAACCAAAACATTGAATTACATACATTTTAAAAGTTTTCAAGGGTTTTCCAATAGCAGTAACCAAACTGATCAGAATACTGAGTGTCCACAACGTTGTTTTTTTTTTTTTTTTTTTTTTTTTTTTTTTTTTTTTTTTTTTTTTTTTTTTTTTTATCTCTCTCAAAAGCTTATGACAACAATATGGTAAAAGATATGAAATCACAGTTTTCTGAATACGGTAGTGTAATTATCTTAACAGGAAGTTCTCTGGCAGATGGATTGGGCACGATGGCTTCATGAAATGGTCCCCACACTTCGCTGATATCACGCCTTCAGACTTCTTCCTGAGGGGGTTTGTAAAGGATGTTTTCCTGGTAACAGTTACTGACATTAAAACATTTTGGAAATGTCACTCTGGATATGTTGGCTAATATAGCAAATGACCTGGAGTATTGATTAGCTGTGTTGGGTACCTTAGAGGTGCATATGTTCAAGATTAATAGATTATGTAAAGTAAAAGGACGCAAGTGCAACTAACGTGACATTTTTATTGTGGCAACATTTCGCTCTCCAGGAGCTTTGTCAAGGCTTGACAAAGCTCCTGGAGAGCAAAACATTGCCACAATAAAAATGTCACATTAGTTGCACTTGCGTCCTTTTACTTTACATATTGTCTGTAATTCTACCAACTTTGTTACAATTAATAATTAGATAACCTTGAAGTTGTATATAAGAACAATTAGTTCAGCTACCATATGTAGAAAACTGCATCTTTATCTTGCCATTCAGTTGCAATAAATTCTCTAATATGGAAAAAATTACAATTCAGCCTGTTTGGTTGAATTGTGTTAACCAAACTGGTTGAAGCATAGCAGTAATAAAACAGATAATTTTAATATTAACAGAAATTTTAAGTTGTTACAATTTGGTATTGGATATGACGTTTTTTTTTAACAAGTCGGCCGTCTCCCACCGAGGCAGGGTGACCCAAAAAAGAAAGAAAATCCCCAAAAAGAAAATACTTTCATCATCATTCAACACTTTCACCACACTCACACATTATCACTGTTTTTGCAGAGGTGCTCAGAATACAACAGTTTAGAAGCATACACATATAAAGATACACAACATATCCCTCCAAACTGCCAATATCCCAAACCCCTCCTTTAAAGTGCAGGCATTGTACTTCCCATTTCCAGGACTCAAGTCCGACTATATGAAAATAACCGGTTTCCCTGAATCCCTTCACTAAATATTACCCTGCTCGCACTCCAACAGATCGTCAGGTCCCAAGTACCATTCGTCTCCATTCACTCCTATCTAACACCCTCACGCACGCTTGCTGGAAGTCAAGCCCCTTGCCCACAAAACCTCCTTTACCCCTCTCTCCAACCCTTTCAAGGACGACCCCTACCCCACCTTCCTTTCCCTATAGATTTATATGCTTTCCATGTCATTCTACTTTGATCCATTCTCTCTAAATGACCAAACCACCTCAACAACCCCTCTTCTGCCCTCTGACTAATACTTTTATTAACTCCCACACCTTTCCTAATTTCCACACTCCGAATTTTCTGCATAATATTTACACCACACATTGCCCTTAGACAGGACATCTCCACTGCCTCAACCGTCTCTCGCTGCTGCATTTACCACCCAAGCTTCACACCCATATAAGAGTGTTGGTACTACTATACTTTCATACATTCCCTTCTTTGCCTCCATAGATAACGTTTTTTGACTCCACATATACCTCAACGCACCACTCACCTTTTTTCCCTCATCAATTCTATGATTAACCTCATCCTTCATAAATCCATCTGCCGACATGTCAACTCCAAGTAATCTGAAAACATTCACTTCTTCCATACTCCTCCTCCCCAATTTGATATCCAATTTTTCTTTATCTAAATCATTTGATACCCTCATCACCTTACTCTTTTCTATGTTCACTTTCAGCTTTCTACCTTTACACACATTCCCAAACTCATCCACTAACCTTAGCAATTTTTCTTTAGATTCTCCCATAAGCACAGTATCATCAGCAAAAAGTAACTGTGTCAATTCCCATTTTGAATTTGATTCCCCAAAGTTTAATCCCACCTCTCTCCCGAACACCCTAGCATTTACTTCCTTTACAACCCCATCTATAAATATATTAAACAACCATGGTGACATTACACATCCCTGTCTAAGACCTACTTTTACCGGGAAGTAGTCTCCCTCTCTTCTACACACCCTAACCTGAGCCTCACTATCCTCATAAAAACTCTTTACAGCATTTAATAACTTACCACCTATTCCATATACAGTATTGCAACATCTGCCAACATTGCTCCTCTATCCACTCTATCATATGCCTTTTCTAAATCCATAAATGCAATAAAAACTTCCCTACCTTTATCTAAATATTGTTCACATATATGCTTCAATGTAAACACTTGATCTACACATCCCCTACCCACTCTGAAACCTCCTTGCTCATCCGCAATCCTACATTCTGTTTTGCCTCTAATTCTTTCAATTATAACCCTACCGTACACTTTTCCTGGTATACTCAGTAAACTTATTGCTCTATAATTTTTACAGTCTCTTTTGTCCCCTTTCCCTTTATATAAAGGGACTATACATGCTCTCCGCCAATCCCTAGGTACCTCCTCTTTCATACATTTATTAAACAAAAGTACCAACCACTCCAACACTATATCCCCACCTGCTTTTAACATTTCTGTCATGATCCCATCAGTTCCAGCTGCTTTACCTCCTTTCATTCTACGTAATGCCTCACGTACCTCCCCCCACACTTACATTCTGCTCTTCTTCACTCCTAAAAGATGGTATACCTCCCTGACCAGTGCATGAAATTACTGCCTCTCTTTCTTCCTTAACATTTAAAAGTTCCTCAAAATATTCTCGCCATCTACCTAATACCTCCATCTCCCCATCTACTAACTCCCCTACCTGTTTTTAACTGACAAATCCATACTTTTCCCTAGGCTTTCTTAACTTGTTTAACTCACTTCCCAAATTTTTTCTTTTTTTTCATTAAAATTTCTTGACAGTGCCTCTCCCACTGTATCATCTGCCTCCTTTTGCACTCTCTCATCACTCTCTTTACCTTTCTTTTACTCTCCATATACTCTACTCTTCTTATAACACTTCTGCTTTGTAAAAAAACCTCTCATAAGCTACCTTTTTCTCTTTTATCACACCCTTTACTTCATCATTCTACCAATCACTCCTCTTTCCTCCTGCCCCACCCTCCTATAACCACAAACTTCTGCCCCACATTCTAATACTGCATTTTTAAACCTATTCCAACCCTCTTCAACCCCCCCCACTACTCATCTTTACACTACCCCACCTTTCTGCCAATAGTCGCTTATATCTCACCCGAACTTCCTCCTCCCTTAGTTTATACACTTTCACCTCCCTCTTACTTGTTGTTGCCACCTTCCTCTTTTCCCATCTACCTCTTACTCTAACTGTAGCTACAACTAAATAATGATCCGATATATCAGTTGCCCCTCTATAAACATGTACATCCTGGAACGTACCACTAGTAAAAATATTTATTCCGTTGGCATTTAGTAGATACAGTAGATCCTTGTTTACCACGTGATCTTTCTCTACATTTTCGCCATAATGTTGTTGACAAGTTGTAACATAATTTGATGAGCACACCATAACTTACATTTAGCATGGCATCAATTTATGGAAAAATAGCTAGAAGGCTTGTAACCAATATTTGGTCATTTACTTAACCCTAGGTGTATTTATACAATTGTTGAATACAGTAAGCAACCACGTTTCGCACAAGTTGCAGTCCAGAAAAAGGAGTTACACATGAATCCACAATAGATGGAGTGAGTGACTTTTGGGAAAAATTGGGTTATATTCCATGCCGCCTCAAAAAAAGCCAATCAACTTTTCTTTTAAAATACACAGTTCACCTAAAATAATAACCGAAGTATTGTACAATGATTTTAAAAGGCATGCATATGACACATTTAAGCATGTTATAGTATAATACAGGATTATTTAACCTATAACCTAATAGTAAAACAATGTAAATACA